TGTGCCCTACCGATGGGTTACAACCAACTTTTCTTTATGAACCGTGTGATGCACCGATGGATCATGTAGTACAAGTGGTTTCAGCTTCAATGAGGTAATTAATAATAGTATAGTTACCCATATAAATATTATACACCTGAGCTAAGTATGAAAAGAAAAATGTTGGCTGGCACTAGGGTAGGAATTATCAATACTACTGGTGGAAGCCAATGTGTTTATGACATAATCGTTCGTTATAAGCATTTAAAGATCTTAAGAAGTGCAATACCTTTGTATAAGATAGCTTACTGATTTATAAGCTGGGGTCGAAAATCCTAGCCTATCACACATAAGGTCATCTAGAGTGTTTTGATTTATACGTACATTTTGTGTCATTGGTTCTTTTGAAAGGTATATATATATATAATATAAACACACTTTAGTAAGATAACTATAATTCAAAAGGATTTTCATTGTGAGTTGGAGAGTGGGCGTGGCCTATTGTTTACTTGTGAATCTGGGGGGGGGGTTACGGTTCACGTCCGTTGCCACAAAAACGCGCTATGTTTGCGCTATATGAGTGACAGTCGAATTCAACTATTCGATTAGAGTAGCCCAAGAGTTGGCGGTGGATGCTGTTTGCTAGCTGTTTTCTCTCAAGTTTGTCAGTTGAAAATTGGGGACGCCTAGTGATGATAGCCCTGGTGTAATGTACGTCGAATATCCCAAACAAACAAATCGTTTTTATTTTTATTTTGTTTTTATATTAAGACATTATTGTACTTGAGATTTCACTTTCATATCGTGTATGTCATTAATACTGGGGCATTAGGGCGACATACGACGGAAAATTGTATAAAGCAGTATTTTTTTTTATTATTAAAAAATTCCAAGTATTGCATCACCTGTTAAATTGAGAATACAAGAAGAAGGGTGTTGAATGATTTTTTTCAGTCGGAATATATTCAGAGATCTTTAAATATGTACATTGAGTTATTAGCGTAATGTGAATTCCGAAGATAAATCTTTTAAACAATTATAATAACTGAAGTAGCTCAGCTGTATTATTGGACAAGTCGATAAACAATTATAATAACTGAAGTAGCTCTGTCGTGTTATTGGACAAGGTGATATACAATTATAATAACTGAAGTAGCTCTGTCGTGTTATTGGACAAGTCGATAAACAATTATAATAACTGAAGTAGCTCTGTCGTGTTATTGGACAAGTCGATAAACAATTATAATAACTGAAGTAGCTCTGTCGTGTTATTGG